CTATTCTATTCTATTCTATTCTATTCTATTCTATTCTATTCTATTCTATTCTATTCTATTCTACTCTACTCTACTCTACTCTACTCTACTTATATTCTCTATTCCATTCTGTTCCCTTCCATTCCATTGCATCCTATTCTTTATTCTATTCCATTCCATTCCATTCTATTCTGCATTCCATTCCATTCCATTCTGCATTCTATTCTATTCCATTCTATTCTATTCTATTCTATTCTATTCTATTCTATTCTATTCTATTCTATTCTATTCTACATTCTATTCTATTCTGTATTCTATTCTCCTGTTCTATTCTATTCTATTCTGTCCTGTCCTGTCCTGTCCTGTCCTATCCTATCCTATCCTATCCTATCCTATCCTATCCTATCCTATCCTATCCCATCCAACATCTATTCTATTCTATACCTTCCAATATCCTATCCTATCCTATTCTATTGTGATGATGGTCAGTGTGCCCATAGGCTTGAATGCAGCTGTTCTCTTCTGCCAATGCAGGGTTACCTCCCTCCCACCAAAAATGGCGCAGAACCCAAGCGACCGAGTCGACCAATCAACATCACGCCTTTGGTGCGCCTTTCAGCCACAGTCCCCAACACCATTGTGGTCAACTGGTCATCTGAGTTTGGCAGGGTAAGAGGGGCTTCTGAAACGGTATTGCCGATTGGGGCAGTGACCTAGCCAGCCTGGCAGTGGGGAGTAGGGGGACACTCACAAAATGCCCTGATGGGAGTCCATGTAGTCCTCGACTTAACAACAGTTTGTTTAGTGACTGTTCAAAGTTACAACGGCACTGAAAAAAAGGGGACTGAGGGACGGTTTTTACATCGGCAACCGTTGCAACAACTCCACGGTGACATGATCAAAATTCAGACCCTTGGCAACTGGGTTCATATTTATGATGGTCGCAAGGTCCTGGGGGTCACGTTTTGTGACTTTCAGACAAGCAAAGTCAAGGAGGAAGCCAGATTCACTTAACGACCGGGTGACTAACTTAACAGCTGCAGTGATTCATTTGGCAACTGTGGCAAGAAAAGTCGTAAAATAGGGCCCAAACTCATTCAACAAACGTCTCCGAAAAAGAAATGTTGGGCTCAGTTGTGGTCATAGGTTGAGGACTAGTTGTACACAAAATGAGTGGAGTTAGGTCATTTGGTCCAGTTTATTGTGAGAAACCAGCATTTGTCTTCATAGAATTCACAACATTCCTTGTATGAATGTTGTGCAGCCAGGATCTGGGGTTTGCAATATGAATTTGAATCCTCTCCATGTCAGGATTCCACCAGTTACCCCCATTTAAATCCTGAATCTCGAGCCAAACTTCCAAAACTTCAAAAGGATTTATTGGGAGTTAACATGTCCGGCACTGAGACACATCATTGTCACCCTTGACCCTGGTTTTCCCTCCCTGCATCATAGTTCATAATCTCCAATGGGACACATCCATAGCCCAGAGTCATCAATCATGTTCTCCAGTTAGAATTTTGCAAGGCAGAAACTTCAGTCACCTAGTTACTATCTCTGAAAACATTTATGGAATGCAGTTTCGGTTTTGCAAGCTGCCACACTGCCCTTTCAAACCCTTTCCCCCTCCCTTTCTGTTGGCAGCTCTAAAAAGACCATAGAAATATCTTTTGAGTTGACACTCAATTTCAAAATATTTTGTGGAGCTTGAAATAATTATTTGGAGCAAGAAGAATTTTCCAACATTTGAAAAAGATATTTTAATGTCATAAAAGGGGCTTCTGATTTCAAAATCTGCCACAGACTGCCTGTGGTTTCATTAGATATTAGATATTACACATTGTGTAAATGTGACGACGAAGCTTTGTTAAGCTGGGTTTAAAGGTAGTCTAAATTGGATGGCCCCATTGAGTGCACACCCAGCAAATTGTGGACATGGATAGGAATGGAGGCTGGACTCTTGAAACAAAACTTTCTCTAGGACGAAGAGGGGCACGAGCGGGGCATGAGAGTGGTAGTCTTCACAATATTGAAAATTACATACTTGAGGTTTAACACATTGGGTGAATACAAGAACTGAGATTTACTGGGTTATGTGAATCCAGCCACATCCAAAAGGGACTTTCTCTGAAAGTAGAGCCTTGGCTGAACATCTTAGTGGCTTTATATGACAAAAAGGCCCCATTTCAAATTCCTTGCGTTGAATTTCTTTGGAAGATTAAATCCAACCCTTTCAACGGAGTCTAAGAAAGAAATGGAAACCGCCAATTATTTTCATTATATTTTGCTCTCAACCATCTAACCATTTAACAGCAAATTCTTTTGTTTGTGGAACAGCCAATTTTGTGTGGCCTGTGTTTGGACCGAGACAATTACAACGGGCAGGGGCCTTAAGGGAGGATTAGTATCCCTTGTTATTGTGAGTTATCTCCAGTTGCTTAAGATAAGCAGCCATAGAAATCCTTTTAAATCAGGGGTTCCAAATCCCTGGGCCACAGCCCACTGCCCAGCCAGGCTACAAAGCCAGAAAGGTTTGGGAACTCTTGGAGTCCTAGTGGACAACCATTTAAATATGAGCCAGCTGTGTGCAGCAGCTGCCAAAAAAGCCAACACAGTCCTAGGCTGCATAAATAGAGGGATAGAATCAAGATCACGTGAAGTGTTAATACCACTTTATAAGGCCCTGGTAAGGCCACACTTGGAATACTGCATTCAATTTTGGTCACCACGATGCAAAAAAGAGGTTGAGACTCTAGAAAGAGTGCAGAGAAGAGCAACAAAGAAGATTAGGGGACTGGAGGCTAAAACATATAAAGAACGGTTGCTGGAATTGGGTATGTCTAATGAAAAGAAGGACTAGGGGAGACATGATAGCGGTGTTCCAATATCTCAGGGGCTGCCCCAAAGAAGAGGGAGTCAAGCTATTCTCCAAAGAACAGAAGGCAGGACAAGAAGCAATGGATGGAAACTTATCAAGGAGAGAAGCAACTTAGAATTAAGGAATAATTTCCTGACAATTAGAACAATTAATCAGTGGAACAACTTGCCTCCAGAATAATAGCAATAGCACTTAGACTTATATACCGCTTTATAGTGCTTTACAGCGTTCTCTAAGCGGTTTACTGAGTCAGCATATTGCCCCCAACACTGCTCCAAGAAGAGATTGGAGAGCCACTTGTCTGAAATGGTATAGGGTTTCCTACTCAAGCGGGGGGTGGGGTTTGGACTAGAAGACCTCCAAGACTCCTTCCAGCTCTGTTATTCTGTTCTGCTAAAGAAACTAGCCAACACATGAGAATCAGAATGAAGCCTCTTGCTTAAGCAAATAAATGTATTTATCAAGTTAAGTCAGAGCCCAGCTTCTTCAATATACCTCTCTCTCTGTCTCTCTCCATGACCTAATCCTGCTTTTGCTCTCTCCAGAATTACTCCCTCTCCGTTTACCTGGTGAAGCAGCTGACCTCGGTAACGTTGCTGCAGAAGTTGAGGGCCAAGGGCATCCGGAACCCTGATCACTCCCGAGCACTGAGTGAGTCCCTGGTTCTTTTGATGGCTATCCCAGCAGCCCCGAGGGTCTGGCAGCAGCTGCCCTTCACTTGCCTGGGGGTCTTAAAAATGACAGGCTCGAACCCAGGGCACCATCTAACAAAATGAAACTCAGTGGGGGGAAAAGTAAGGTTCTACATTGAGGCAAGGAAAACCAAACACACAGGTGTAGCGGCATAGGTGGTATCCTCCATATTTGGAGTTTTGCAGCGTTAATTCAGTGCCAGAAAAATAAACATAGGCAGCTGAAGCTTCATTTAACTTCTTCATAAACACAAAGTAAATTTTACAATACCAGTTGTAGATTTCTCCAGCATGGAGCAAACTCAAACAGAAGCAGACATGTTACAGGTTCAGAGCAGAACAGCAACTCAGGAGCTCAGAAACAGACATCAGTTTCACTTTAGTTCAGCAGGCAAGCAAGACACACAGCAGAGGAGAGAAGCAGTTTCATTTTCAATAGACAGACTCAGAGCTTCACATAGCTTCAGAGCTGCAGAGCTTAATACAGAGCCACACCTGGGCTACTTCTTGTTTCAGTTTCCAGCCTAGGCTACTTCTAGTTTCAGTTTCCAAAGCAGTCCTCATTGGCTGACTTAGTTGCTATGCCTGTTCATTGGCTGACCTTGTTACCAAGCTCTATTCCAGTTCATGAAAATACTCTGATACTCTCGTAGTGACTGGTGAGAGGGATCTTGGAGTCCTAGTGGACGGTCACTTAAATATGAGCCAGCCATGTGCTGCAGCGGCCAAAAAAGCCAACACAATTCTAGGCTGCATCAACAGAGGGATAGAATCAAGTGTCAGCGTTCCAGAAAACCTCCACTCCAGCAAATAAAACTCCGAGACAGACATCTTCTCAAAAGTTCTTTTTTTTATTGGATAGTAAACTGGCACAACTGGGGAATCCCAAATCTGAAATCTGAAACAACTGCAATGATTCACTTAACAACTGTGGCTAGAAAGGTAAAAGGGTACAAAACTCCCTTAACCAATGTCTCGCTTAGTAACAGAAATTTGGGGCTCAATTGTCATAAGTCAATACATATACATATATTTATATCTCTATCTCTTATTTACCTGTCTCATCTATCTAATCTATCCATCTTATTTATCTTATCTATCCCTATCTATCTTATCTCTTATCTATCTATCTCTGTCTCTATTTTATCTACCTACCTACCTATCCCTTTTTTATCTTATCTCCTATCTATCTCTATCTCTTATCTATCTTATCTATATCTCTTACTTCTTATCTATCTCTTACCTCTTATCTATCCATCTGTCTCATCTAATCTATTCATTTTATCTTATTTATCTTATCTATCTCTATATCTCTATCTCTTATCTATTTTATCTATGTATCTGTCTTTTCTATCTTATTTATTCTATCTATCTCTTAACTATCTTATATCTTATCTATCTTTATCTCTTATCTATCTTATCTATCTATCTCTTATCTATATCTTACCTCTCTTATATATATGTCTCTATATGTATGTGTCTCTGTCTCCTTTTAACATTCCTATTTTATTGTGTTTTTTAAATCTACGTGAAAAGTTAATACATGTCGTAAGTCCATATATGTTATGCCATACGATAAATAACTCTCTTCTGTGTATTATTTGTGCTTAGGATTCTAAATTCCCCCCACCCCCCTCTCTTGCAGTCAAAGAAAAACTGACAGCTGATCCTGACAGTGAAATCGCCACCACAAGTTTGCGAGTGTCCCTCATGTGTCCGGTAAATGTCTGCTAACAAGATTTACTGTTAGTCTTTTTTAATATTTGGGAAAAAAAACTCTGCTTAATACCAAGAAGAAACCCCATAAAATGTATTTACGGTTGGATAGTTTCCGCCCCAGAAACCTTCTTTTACTGACACATTGGGTTTTAATATTAGATTTTATCTGTTGTCTATTGAGATTCTCAACCATCCAGGTCCTCGTTGTCCCAAAGGTGCTTTTTTCAGGAGGCCACTGGATTTTTTCCTTTTTTTCTTTTGAAAATGCTTCACTTCTCATCCCAGAAGCTTCTTCAGCTCTGACTGGATGGAGGGGAAGGGAAGGATTTACACTCCTTGCAGACTGCTGGTCATTTGCATCCTTTTAGATGGTCATTGAGGCCACTTGGGGGTTTTATCTGTGTCCTCAGGGTCACCTGAGTGGTGCAAATGGATGTGGAGCCTTCTTGGAACTGTTGGAAGGATTTTATCTGTTATTTATTATTTTATTCTAGGACAGGGGTGTCAAACTCGTGTCGTCCTGTCGTCATCACGTGACATCTCAAGACTTCCCCCCCCCCTTTGCTAAACCAGGGGATAGGCCTGGCCAGCGCATGATGCATCTGGCCCGCGACCCACAAGTTTGACACCCCTGGTTGAGAATTTTTAACTGGATATTCACTGAGTGTTTTTATTTCCTCTGGTCTCTGACAGTAATAAACCTGATTGAATTTTGACCTGGAATGTCTTGGGTTAGGGTTAGGGTTAGGATGCAGAACGTTGAACTCGGCGGCGGGCGAGGATGCCATGTTGAGAGGGGCACGCCGGGGGTCTCGGTCCTTCCCAAGCTACTCACCCTTGCCACCCCTTTCTCCCTCCCTGCTTCCAGCTGGGCAAGATGCGGCTGATCGTTCCCTGTCGTGCCTTTACCTGCACCCACCTGCAGTGCTTCGACGCCGCCCTGTACCTTCAGATGAACGAGAAGAAGCCAACCTGGACGTGCCCCGTCTGTGATAAGAAGGCTCCCTATGAGGGCTTGATCATTGATGGGTAATGCTGGGGAAGCCCTGGGCTCCCTCTCCTCGTTGCTGCCTTTCAGGAGACCCTACATGTTAAATCTTAAATGTAATTGATCACTTTTCCTCTTTTTCTTTTTTTGAACATCTGTGGGAAGTTCCTACCAGCTGTCCATCAGCTGTAATTTAAAATAACAGAGTTGGAAGGGACCTTGGAGGTCTTGTAGTCCAACCCCCTGCTCAAGCAGGATACCCTACACCAGTGGTCGCCAACTGGTGGGCCGGGGACCACTGATGTCCGCAAGAAAATTTTGGTCGTCCACAAAGAAATGTCACCCCCCAGAGAAATTAATCCAGGTTATGTGGGAACACAAGGCTTGCGTCGTTTGCATTGCAAACAACACGAGGTAGTGAGGGGAGGGGGAAAGAGTGTGGGGGGAGTTGCCCCACACGCCTGGCCTGGCCACTGGGCTGCTTCTTTCCGCTTCTTTCTCCTGCTTTTGGCTGCGTGCAAGGAAAGCAGCAAAAGTCTTTCTTTCTCTCCCCCAAACTCCGCCAGAAATGAGTCTTTGGGACCCTGCAGGGCCTCCGGCTCCAAGAGGCTGTGCCGGTGCGACAAGTCTCACAAAGACTCATTTCTGGCGGGGTTTGGGGTAGAGAAAGAAAGACTTCTGCTGCTTTCCTTGCATGAAGGCAAAAGTCTCCCCCCACCCCCGAGAACAGAGCTGAAGACGGTATCCTGCGATACCAAATAAAGAATGATCGATCGGTTGGAAAACGGGGTGGGGGATTTTCCTGCAGACTGTTTTTGAAATTTTCCCAGGGTCTCTGGTCCACGGGATTTAAAATTGTGAGTTTGGTGGTCCCTGAGGTCCAAAAGGTTGGCGACCCCTGCCCTACACCACTTCAGATATAATTTCCAGAGATAACTGGAAATAGTAGATAATTTATAAATGCCTTCGTTCTGATTCTCATCTGTTGGCTAGTTTCTTATTTAAAACAGAGTTTTAGAATAGAATAACAGAGTTGGAAGGGACCCTGGAGGTCTTCTTGTCCAACCCCCTGCTTAGGCAGGAAATCCTATACCATTTCAGACATGTGGTTATCCAATCTCTTCTTAAAAACTTCCAGTGTTGGAACATTCTTGTCAGAGTGTTTGCAGCCTGACTACTATCATGAGACAACCCAGGAGCAAAACACAGCCCACAGAGACTTAGACATTCAACCGTGGTTTATATACGAGACATATACAGAAATATACATAGTAGCAAATACCTGACAAGCAATCAATTTTCTTAACTCTGTATGGAGAACTCTGCAATGGATACAGAACACAAGGAGAGAAAATATGCCCTCTAATGTCTGCCTTATATAAACACCTTTTAAAGGGGTAAAACTTCTGTAGACTCGCTTAGTCTTAAAGAGGCAATACCAATGCTGATTCATCTTCATTGCATCAGCCTTACATTGCATCAGCTTCACATCTGGTCAGCTCTTAAATCCCAATACCTTAACAATTCATAACTTCTGGGGGCAAGCTGTTCCACTGATTAATTGTTCTAACTGTCAGGGAATTCCTCCTTCGTTCCAAGTTGCTTCTCTCCGTGGTTAGTTTCCACCCATGGCTTCTTGTCCTGCCCTCTGGTGCTTTGGAGAATAGTTTGACTCCGTCTTCTTTGTGGCAGCCCCATCGATATTGGAAGACTGCCATCATGTCACCCCTGGTCCTTCTTTTCATCAGACTAGCACAAAACTTTTCATCAGACTGTCCCTGCTTCTGAATTGCTCTCCCTCCCTCCCCAGGCTGTTCATGGAGATCCTGAACTCTGTTACGGACTGCGATGAGATCCAGTTCATGGAAGACGGGTCTTGGTGCCCCATGAAGCCCAAGAAAGAGAACCAGGAGGTTTGCCAGCCGTCTGCTTACAATGGACTGGAAGGTAGGTAAAAAGGCTTGGCTTTGGAGCACTGGCTGTGGGGGCTTGGGCATGAAAGGAGGGCCCTGGCTTTGGGTTGGGGTGGGGGCTGTGGTGCCAGGAGCAGAGAGGGGTCTTTGGCACAAGAAGTCTCAAATCTGGGGGATTGCATGTAGCAGCTTGCTCCCGTTGTGTGGCACGGAGGTTCCTCTGCACAATTGCAGTGTTAATTATTGGAGGCACCTCCTCCTTTTGTGGTAGTTGCTCTCTTGGGGATAGCCAGTTTGGTGCCTGGATTCAGCCAGTTTCCGGAATTCTAGCTCTGGCGAATGGAAGAGAATCCTAGGGCTGAAAGGGAACCTGGAGATCTTCTACTCCATTGGTCGCCAACCAGTGGGCTGGGGACCATCTCTGCATCGGACGCAGGACCCTCGTACAGGTCCTCTCCAGACTACTGGACTGGTCCCCTTTCTTCCCCACTGTCTGAAAGCACGTAAAAAAAAAAATGCAAGTAGAAAAATAGGGCCCCTTTTGGTGGGAAGGTCACAGTGTTCCGTGCGGCTTCCATGTTTAGTCCTGATGGCCACATGACCACAGAGACGTCTTTGGACAGCACTGACTCTTCGGCTTTGTCATGGTGAGCAGCGCCCCCTAGAGCTGGAAACAACTAGCATGGATGTGCGAGGGGAACCTTTACCTATTAATCTAAGTTTCAACGTGGGCTGATTGATTTCAGGTTTGCATGCTGTGCCTTTGTGGTTTCTAAATGGCCAACGACTTAGCATTATGGGGTCCCAGGGTTTGTGCCCTGTACAAGGCCAGCCATCAGAAGTCTCATGCCCCCCATCGAAGCTTGAGTCTGTGGAGGAAGACGAGCTGGAACTGGAGCCAATGGAGATAAAGGAGGCGGTGTGACAACCCAGGGTGTGGCACAAAGGCAACACAGTCAGATAATCACTAGGAGTCCCTTTATTAGCTCCAACTTTGCCCCCAGTGTCCTGGTTACCTTCTGGGCTGGAGAAAAACTCTCCCAGGAACAGCCTTTGACTGCAGAGAATCAAGTCCAAAACGTGGTCAACACAAACTGGAACTATAAGTCCAATCAAGGCAAAATGAAGTAATTTCCTTCCCCGTAAGCCATACAACCCACGTTGCTCTCTTCTCCGTTCCTCCCTGCGTGCCCTAAGATGAAGAGTGGGTGGGCCTGGGTCTTCATTTAAACTCCCTCTCCCTTGTTCTACCTCTCCCCTGCTCTGCCCAGCCAGACTTTGCCCTTCCCCAGTTTTCTCCACAGCCAACGGAGCCACACTCCCACTCCCTGTCAGCTGTTCATCTTCCGCCTTGGATTCAGACTCTGACAGGGGCATAACAGGCAGCTTCGTTGACTTGGGAGGAAAAAGGGGAGGAGCAGGCCCAGTCAGGCCAGGGCCTTTCAGGATTGGGACAGCTTGTAGGCAGGGAGGAAGGGGGGCAGGATGAGTAGGAGACGCTAAGCAGTGAACATGAGAGACAAGAACTCAGGCGGTGAACAGAGAGCACCCCCTCCTGATCCAAGAGCATGGAGAGTGGAGAGAAGGTGAGAACAGTGCTGACTGACCTGACTACTCAGGAGGAGAGCGCCCCGCCCCTCTCCACAAAGCACACCTGGGGACTGAGACTTAAAGAGACACTGTGTGGGAGAGGTATTTATCGGGAACAAACACTGAATTCCTGGAGTGTGGAGTGCTGGTGTTTGAACTTTTCTGGATTCCTTGAATTCTTTCTGGATTTCTTGCTTTGCAGCTGTGGTGCTCACAGTGCTGGTGTGTGTGGGTGTCTGTGTGTGTATGGGTCATCAATTTGCTCTGGGACTTGCCAGAAACGTGGGAGCATTTGGGGAAATTCGTAGCCATAAAGGGGCAAACTGCCAGCTGCCTTTATTACCTCTGTGCCATGCCCCGGGTCCTTGTTGTGGTTCGCCAGCAGCCTGTGGAGACAGCAGTGGAGTCGGACAGTGGGGAAGAACGGGGACTAGTCCAGGAGTCTGGAGAGGATTCAGATGAGGGTCCTGCGTCCAGTGCAGAGATGGGGCCAGGACCATCTGGGAGTGGGGTGCAACCTCCAGAGTCTGGCAGAAGCAAGGCAGAGGAACAAGGGGAGCCTCTTCCTAGTGTGCGTGTGTGCAGGGCTGCTAGAAGGCAAGAGCAGCTGAAACAAAAGGGGCGACTCAGGAGTAAGGCAGGGAGGTGATTGCCCCTCCCGTAAGGTACAAAAGACAAGCCAAGTTGATGAAACCTTTGCAGGAAGCAAAGTCGTTCATACTGTTCGGATTAATCCTTGAAGCTGTGTGCGGAGTTTGTACTTTGGTTGGTTTTTTATAATTCATTTGGCACTTTTGTTCTTGGCAGCAATTCAAAGGAGAGAAAGGTGGGTGCTTATCTCAAGGGACTGTTTAGGACTCATTACGGGCTGGGAATGAACATAATTCCCAGTGTCGAAATAAAACAAAGAGTTGTTTTACCTAAGCGTGTGCTTAATTTTGGTCTCGGGAAGCCTTGGTCAGAACAGTCATCACACAAAATGCGTTTCTGAGCATTGTCTTCGTTGTGTTCCAGCCTCCCTGTACACAGTAAGCTCGGATGGAAAGCAGCTGCCCGACAACAAGAAGAAGGTGGAGGTGATTGACCTGACCTTGGACAGCTCTTCAGATGAGGAGGAACCCCCTGCCAAGAAAGTGTGTCCTGTCGCCATCGCAGCCATCCCGCCGGCACCCGGACCAAAAGGGTAGGGGGCTGTGGGCACGAGGGGAGGAAACTTTTCCTCCTCTGGCTTGTCTGATTTCTTTTAGCCAGATTCCGTGATGGAAAAGCTCTTAGCACCGTGATGGCGAACCTATGGGTCTTTGCCACACATGCAGGGAGTGGGTGGGGTGGGGTGGCGCGCATCCATGGGGGGATTTCAAATTCCAAAATTCAATAAAAACAATGAAAGAAAAAAGTGGAAACTCCCCAGCTCCTCCTCCCACAGGTTTGTGACCCTCCATCTGTCAGGCTACAGAACTTTTCCCATTCAATCAACTAGAATGAACTTCTGAAAACATATCAAAACGTATCAAAAAGTGAGACAATTCATGTAGGGGTTAAAAGCAGCATCTAAGGTCTCTCAGGCATGCAGAGATAGATAAGGGAGTTTATCTTGATGTGTATTTAGTAAAACAAAGAGTCAATATGTTAATTCCCCCCCACCTCCTTTTTAGAACGATCTTTTTCAGAGTTTCCCAGGACACATCTCACTGTGGAATTTTTATGGTCTCTTCATCTCCTGACTGTCTCTCTCAGAGGTGATAGGTTCCGGCCATCTGGGTTTCATCCCTCCATTGTATCGTGTGTAGGTTATACAAATTCGATATAAGATTAAATATATTCAGGTTACATCAAGAAAGGATTTCTTTATCAGTCTCCTCCCTCCTTTTCTTCTTCCATTGAAGAAATGACAGATACACGGATCTGACACCATCATAAGCTCCTTTAAAAAAAACTTTATTAGTCTTTTATATATTTTAAAAATAAAACAAAACATAAATATCATGACGTTAACAGTTTTGTAGCATCCATCTCATCCATTTCTATATTTTGTGCATATTTACAAATATATACAATTTTGTACAAATATATACATTTAATCTATAAGTTGCTTATCTTTAATTCCTTCATTTTCTGTTTTAGTTCGATCCAATTATACCATTTTCCCTAAATTCTATAGTATTCAGACTCCTCTTTCTCTTGTACCACTAAAGTCAATTGTCCAGTTCAGCACATGCCATTATTTTTGGAATAATCAGTTCATCCGATGGTATGCAGCTGTGCTTTCAGCATTGAGCATAAGCTCTACCAGACGTAAAGATATCTAATACAAATACTTCTTCCATACTTGATGCCTTTGCCCCAAAAGTAAAAAATACTGGAAAAAAATAGAATTTGGATAAAAGAAATTACAAATATTCAACTAGAATTCAAGGCTGAAATATTTTTATTGGGAATGATAAAAGGTGACTATGCAAAAGAAATGAAATATTTAATTCTCCATATAATTACGGCAGCAAGAAATGCATTGGCACAATGCTGGAAGGGTGACCAAATGCCAACAAACAATTTGATAATCCAGAAGGTTCTTGACTGCACTGAAATGGACATACTTACCCCAAAACTAAGGGATGAGGTAGACTCAAAAGATAGTACAATTTGGGAAAAATGGTACAATTGGATTAAGGATAAAAACCAGGGAATAAGAAGATAAGGAATTGAAAAATAAAGGGGTTAGATTAAGAGTATTTACCAGAAATAGGAAATGAATATTAGTTAAAAAAATTTGAGAAAACAAAACACCATCTAAGTTGATTAGAAATATATATGTTTTATGTTTATTTGTTATGTTTTTCATATTGATTTTTTTAAAATAAATTTTATTGGTTTTTAAAAACATACAAACAAAACATAAAACATCCTTTTTGAAAGCAGCATAATCCCGGGTTACATCTCTTGGTACAGACACATATTCAAGTTCATGGTCATTTTTATATTCCATTCCATATCTTATTACTATTCTACATTTTCTACATAGCTTCTCCCCTCTTTTAACTTTCTTAATTTTATTTTATTTATTTCATCTTAATTCAAATCATTGTGCTTATATTCTTTGTCTGTCCTGTTTCAACTGTCTTATCTTTTCTCATTAAACAAAATTTCTCCTGTAATCACTGATTGGAGTATGACGCCTTTATATCTTTCCCCTAAAATTATAACACTTAATATAATACATAACTTCCATTAGGATTCTGCTTGGTACATTCTAAAACTACACACTGTATTCTTAAAAAAAGAAAAAAATATAAATGTATAATATAATTAAAACAACAATCCATTCCAATTCAATTCTGTCATTAATATTAATATTCATTTAAATCTTAACATTTTGCACATTACTTTTCAAATAAATATCATACTTCTGTGGGAACAATTATAAACTTTCCATAATTAATTCCCCCCCCCTTCACTTATATTTTATAAAACATTGACTAATTAAAATGTTCCTGTTCCTTCCTAATTCAATTTTCTCATTTATTTTATTTCATTTATTTTATTTACAAACATTTCACCAAACCACACCAACTACTTTATCCCTCTTTTTAATCATATGTTATTTCCAATTTTCTGAAATTATTTTTATTACAAATATAACAATACAATCTTATGTCCCTTCACATGCCATTGTAAAAAATTTTAAACAACCACCCAATTGGTTTTAGTCATTCAAATATAATAACCAAAAATCCAAAAGTCACCAAGCAATCCAAATACACGCAGGCTGTTTCTTTTTACACGTTCACTTTCTCTTCCTGGGGTTACTATTTAGTTGCAAAGTTTCAGTTAAAATGTATCTTTTAGAAGTCTTGTTGAAATTTTACTTTAGATTCTTTTGAAGTCCAGGCAGTCTCCTCCCTCCAGATCCTGCTCTTATTATTTTCCTCTCCCTTCCTACTTATAGAAAAAAAAGTTTTTAATATCCAGAAATCTTTATTGTCCCTTTGGTATTTAGTTATATTTTCAGCTTAATTGCCTATTAATGCCAAAGTGGATTTTTCCGATTTCTTATTCAGATCTCTTAGTTGTCAATGTAAGGAAGGAGAGAGAAGAAAAAAAAAAAACTTTCCCTTTTCACTTTCTTTCACTGCTTCCGACTCTTCTTTGGGAGCGATGTTATCTTTTATAAAATTTAAATTCCAGGGTACCTTGGTTGTTGCTTTTTAACCCGGTCAGCCAAAACTTTCACTTCTTATCTTCCTCCTGCACTTTCTTTTCCGGTTGAGTGCTTCTTTGAGGTGGCCATTTCTGACCACCGCTCCTATCGCCTTCGGGAAAGGGAGTAATGGCCAGCTGAGGAGGAGAGATGCGGCTCTCCTCAACCCTGCTGGCGATCTCACCCCTCTTCACCACCTCTACGGGGTGGCTTATTCCCGAAACCAGCCCGCTCGAGGCGCTCCAGCGGCGAGCCCAGGCAGAAACTACGCACAATTGCGGATTCCTGCCTGTCGCCAAAGCCCTTCAAACCGGAAGTCCGTTTTTCATATTGATTTTGTTTGCAATGAAATGTTGTATATTACGTATTGTATATACTTTTTAAAACCTTTAATAAAGTGTTTTTTTTAAAGATATGTAATACAATATATTTTATATTCTTTCCACATTTCTTTTTTGAATATCATCATCATCTTTTAATGAGCCCATAATCCCTTGCGGAGTGGAGTCTGGGCAACTAAATGGAGCTGAGGGTTTACTGGCCGAATGCCCTTCCTGTCACCAGTGCAGAGTTCCCCCCGCAGCAGATATATTCTCATTGTGCCCAGAGAGAGAGAAATACCTACCTCTACCGAGGATCGAACTCACAGCTACCTGATGGTGAGACCAGAGCTCCACCTCTAGGTCACCGCACCACTCATTTGTGACCCTCAATCCCCTGAAAAAAAAAAATCGCCCCCCAAAGGCTGCTGCAAACGTTCCCTTTCTCCCCCAGAACCCAAACGCCCTTCCGGCTCAGCTAACCTTTCCTTTCCTTTTAGGATTTTAAATACAGACCACCAGCCTTCCTCGGTGCTGCGGAGTCCTCCAATGTCCGGAGTGGGCAGCGATTACCTCTCCAGCCTCCCGCTGTCCGACTACCACCCTTCTTATTCGGTCCCTTCAGACATCCAAGGTAAGTGGTACCGGAGGGGGCGAGTTTGGGCTCTCTCTCCCCTAACCAGGGAGAACCCGAGACGAAAAGCAATCGAGGTTAAAGCTCATTTATCTTAGCAGAATTGTGGTTTCTCAGTCTTGGATGGGTTTCAGCTTCTGGTGTGGACTCGGCCCTCAAAGGGGCCAAAGCAAGCCCAGATACCACACCTCTGTCCGGCGGATATATACCGTGTTTCTGATATAATAAGGCCGGGTCTTATTTTGGGGGGAGGCCCCAAAAAATGGCTAGGATGTCTTTTCGGGGGTGAATTAATTTCTTTCCCTCCCCCACGCACCCTTGCCTAGGGCATCCCGCAGGCCGTCACACCTCGCCACCAGCCGCTCCTAATGGCTGATCATGGCAGAGCGTGGAGGGCTCCCTACCCCCACCAAGCACCTTTGCTGCAGACCCAGGTGAATGGGTGGGCGACGGAGGCGGCGTGGATGTCCGCCGGCAGTGTTTCAGCCGCTTCTCGGGCCTCCGTAGCTTCCACGGTGCCCGCCGGTGCTGCCACCCCTCTCGCCAGCGCCATCCCCAACAACAGCATCTGAGTCACTCCCACTTTTTCCCCGTCCACGTCCCCGCAACAACAGGAGAGAAAAAAAACATTTTGAGGTATCTGGGAGCACTGCGCACTGCGTTTTGGTTTAATCCTGAGCGGATGGGTGGGTGTGAGAAGAGCCAAGTGAGCATCTCTGCTGCTGCTACCCTTGATGCTCCAACCTTGGGCTCTGCAAGTTTCCAAAAGTCCCAGTGAGCAGCCCATTCCTGCATTCCAAGCGCGCCCAGGCCGAGCTGCAGCTGTCCCTCTCTCGCCAGCGCTGTCTCCAACAACAGCGGCACCATTGGTGGGAACTGTGGAAGCTACAGAGGCCCGAGAAGCAGCTGAAACACTGCCGGCAGACATCCACACCCCCTCCGCCACCCGCCCGCTGACCCGGGTCTGCAGCAAATGCGCTTGGCGGGGTTAGGGAGCCCTTCGCGCTCTGCCATGATCGGCCATTAGGAGTGGCTGGTGGTGAGGTGTAGCTGCCCACGGGGCACTCCTAACGGCAAGTTCCCCCCCGCCTCCCCCCCCCAATTTTGCATGTTTTAAAATAGGCCTAAATTGGAGGGGAGGGGCTTAATTTCATTTTATGCCTAGAAAACATGCTGGGTCTTCCTATTGGGGGGTGGCGTATTGTTGCAGAAACATGGTATTTGTTTAAAAATCATTTCCTTCCCTTTGGTACATTCATTTTAGCATTTAAGGTTGCTTTCTCCTTTTTCGTTTCTCTAGGTCTGGATTTGTTTTCCTTCCTTCAAAGTGAAAATCAGGTATGTTTTTCAGAGGTGGTTTTCAAATTTTTTTACTACTGGTTCTGTGGGTGTGGCTTGGTAGGCGGGGCAGAGGAAGGATACTGCAAAATCCCCCTCCCCTCCCCATCCCACTGACCTGCTTTCCAGCTCCGTTCTCCTGTGCAGGGCGACCAAAGGAGGCCCAGCCAATCAGCTGGGACTCAATGGGAGGCAGAGAAGAGATGGGGTGGGTGGGGCCAGTCAGTGGTGGTATTCGCCGGTTCTCTGAACTACTCAAAATTTCCGCTACTGGTTCTCCAGAACTTTGTCAGAACCTGCTGAATACACCTCTGACGTTTTCCCTCTTGTCTTCCATCTCCCAACCACCCCTTCAAACCTTCACCAAATCCACAGCCTGGCCATTACAGTGGGAGGTTTCTCTTTTCTTGGCGTATAGTGTTTAATTGCTTTGATAACCCCAGCAAGCTTACTTTTAATTAATTAATTAATTAATATATTTCAGACTTGCAAGATTGAGAGTTCAGAGCAGCTGTTGCAAGTGTTCTCAGCTCAAAAGAAAAATAGAAGAGAAGGGGAGAGGAAAACGGAGAGGAGAGAGGATAGAATGAGAAGAGGGGAGGAGAGGAGAATTAGGTGTTTAGCAGAGTGATGGCGGGGGTAATAAGATTTTGTCTTATATATTTTTGCTGCCACCAAACAAGGGACCAGGTCTTATTTTCGGGGGACGTCCTCCACTGACTGACCTCACTTGTGTGCATTGCCCTCGGCCTCCTTTTCGCTGTCAGAGGCCTTTAGGAACCTTCTGCGGCTTCTGAAGGCCTCTGCAGGGGGATAATGGAACTCCAGATCAATCCAGAGTTTTGTTATCAGCTACAGAGGCCTTCAGAAAAGTCTTGCCAGCCTTGCCGGCTGCAGAAGTAATGGGCCGGCAAGGCAGGTGTCGGGGTGGGTGAGGCCTGGCTACAACTGTCCAAAGGTAAGTAGTAGGGCAGCTACATCCCCCCATCCCCACCCTATCTTAACTTTTACCAGTCCACTCTGGAGTTGGCAGGATCTTAATTGGGGTGTCTAGGCTCTGGCATCCACGCCCATTTAAATCATGAGTCTCTGACCACATCTCTCAGAGTTTAAAGAAGATTTATTAGGAGTGACCAGGCCAGTGCTACCTGGGTGTAGCCGACTGTGAGACACACCATTCATTTCCCCCTTGACCCTGGTTTCCCCCTTCCCACCCCCTGGATGTATATTCTGCAATGGGACACCTCCATAGCCAAGAGTCCTCAATCATGCTTTCCAGTAATAATCTTGCGCGCCAGAAGCTTCAGCCGCCTATCCATTATCTATGAAAGAATCTAAGGAATGCACTGCTTCCCCCACTCCCTTTCTGCTGACAACTCTAAAAGACCAGAGAAATATTTTTGAGTTGACCTAGGGCTTATTTTGGGTGTAGGGCTTATATTGGGCACACATTCAAAAGTCAAACTAGGACTTACTTTCAGGGTAGGTCGTATTTTCGGGGAAGCAGGGTAGTTAACCTTATTGTTAACTATTGTTACAACGAGTATTTTGCCCTGGCGTAAGCAACAAATGTTGGGGGTTTGTTTTCTCTCCCTCTTGCAGCATTACAGCCCTTCCGTGATCACCTCCCTGGATGAACAGGATTCCCTGAGCCATTTTTTCCAGTATCGGGGGCCCTCCCCACATTTCATGAGCCCCCTGGCTCCGATCATGGTGGGGTCACACAGCGGGGTCGGCTCCCCCACTGGGAGCCGCATGAACAGTGTGGTGTCTTCACCCACGGCCAGCTTGCGGGAGAGCCACGGCGCCATGGGCAGCAGCCCAGCTCTGCCGGGATGTCGGCCGGACATCATCTCTCTGGACTAAAGGGGGAGACGCCCCTTTGGGGGGGGAGACTTCATTCCTCTCTGGAGGAAGGCAGAAATTTCAGCCATATGTCAGCAGCTGAAGAGGACACAGGCGGCAGAGCGTTTCATGGGTGCCACCGTCTTATGGAAAAACATGGCATTTTTTTTAAAGCTGGAAACACTCCCAGAAGCCAAGCTCCCAGTCCCTGGCAATCACAGAGGGATCCATCTCTGAATCAGAGGAATCACCCAGCTAAATTTGGATCATGGGATCCTTAAGCCAGCGAGGGACTAAAGGGGGCGTTCAACGGCCCACTCTAATCTGTCCCAAGTTACAGAAAAATCATGGAATTTTGTTCTTAGCTGATGGAAACCCAGGTTTAAGGTGGGCTGGGTTGGATGGAGTGCAGCAAGAGGAGACCCTCAGGAGCATTGGAAATTCAGCATGGCTCGAACTCAGAACAGGTTGCCAGGACCGCACGGGTTCAAGCTTGGCACAAGATTTGTTGAATCAAGAGTCTCCTGGCCAACTCCACATTTAAGCTCCACGTTTGAGGTTTGAAGGTTAAAATATTTTGAATTGAGAATGTTTTTTTTTTTTTCAGGACCACAGAAACCGGCTCTTTCTTTGTATTAAAACAAAAAAATAATAATCTTTTTTTAAGGATCCTGGCTAGACCAGTTGAGGCCCAAGTGAATGTTTGCAGGTTCTTGGATTTTCAGAACTCCGTTGTGGGCAAGGAGCACTCAACACATGCATGGAAAGAGCTCTGGGCCAACTTTCCAACCAAATGTTGTGTGTGTTTTTTTCCCCTTTCCCTAAATGTATATTTTCTATACTTATAAAAGACAGCAGCTTCTTTAGAGGTTCAAAGGCATAACAAGGGAACTGTTTTCTGTTACTCCCCGTTCTCTCTCTCTCTCTCTCTCTCTTTTTTTTACAGTATACTATGATTTAGCCTTGGCTGGGTCCTCACACTGGGCTAAGCCATAGAGGGCTTTTGGTTCTCAGTGATGCAGGATTATTGCCTACTATGAGACAGGCAATTGGGGTTTTGTCCAACAAACCACAATTATAACAAATGGTGGTTTCTTTACAACGCTGGGGAAGGCCATGGTCAGCAGGAGGCACTGAGGCTGCCTAACCACGGCATTGCCAGGCTTCAGATAATACTGAGTTGGTGGGATCCGGCTAGCTTTTTGAGAGCCACGGGCTTCCAAAAAGGGGAACAAAAGCTAATTTGAATTTTGTTTTAGTTTTAGTTTTTAAAAAATTAAATTTATTCCCGCCCACGTCAACGTTTTTCTGCCAGAACTTGGGGTTGAAACGTTTGAGGATCCTGGCTGCACCTTCGGTGGGTTCATCTGAGGAGAAGGTAAACGTTGTAAGGTAAACGTTGCAAGAAGCATCTAATTTGCTAAGGAATGGTGTTAACCTTTGAGGAATCCTTGGGAGGAATTCCCACAGGCAGCCAGGGAAGGGCTGCTCTTTTGGAAGAGGTAGAAAAACCTGCCGGCAGGCTGGGAAACGCGCTCCCTCCAGTTAAACCTTCCCTTTTGGAAATCTCTATGAAGAGAAGACAGGATGTTTGCCCTGTCCTGGAGCGAAAAAGCTACAGAGGACACCTTGCCCGAGAGGTTTGAGCTGCAAAGTGGAAAGCTTGTACCCCAATTTCTGGGAAGCCGGGCTGCCACCCCCAGAAGACGCCTCTTCTTGGACACTCCTAAGTTCGGATTTTTTGGATGCTTTTGGAGTCCAAATAGACTCGCCATCCTGTCACCATAGGGATGGGAATGTGTTAGGTGGACTTTTGGGGGTTTGGTTGGGGCACCTGGCATTGCCTACCTGGAGTGGGCTTGCAGGGGTGGGGCTCAGGCACCAAGGGACCTCCTGCCACCCTGCCCTCAAAAATCCCGTCATTCTGTTGCTGGGACGGGTGGTTATTGCTGTTACAAGATATTTTTTTACACTTTCGATCTCGTATTTCCTACCCCTCAAAAGTATTTCCAAACCAATCCTGTACAGAGAACGAAAGATCTTTATCAATCTGATCTCTACATACATATCTATATTACGATAATCTATATTTTCAGTTTTTGTACATAAGGCGACTCCAAAGATCTTTTCTCTCTGTATTTCTCCCCCATCCCCTTTCCTGAGGACTAAATGAAGGTTGCACATCCTTTTGCACACGTGTAAGTAAGCGCGAGGGGCAGTGCATCGTCCGTTGCACAGCTTATTTATATATTTATGTATGTGTCCTGAGTTTTGTGTGTGTGTGTGTGTGTGTGTGTGTGTGTTTTCAGTTCGAAGCTTTCCAAGTCCAGCTGCTTGGCCTCCTCTCCCGCCTCCTCAGCCAGCCAGGGGGTTGAGCCTCCACCGTGGAAGTCCTACCCTTGGGAGGATGGGATGGCGTAGCCAGAACAGCCCCGACGGAGTCGGTGGGAGCCAAGTACGGTCTGAGATAGAATGAAGGGAACTGTCATTTTGCAAAGCTTCACTTTCTGCATTATTTGTCACAGCCTTGGTGGAGAAGGCAGAATTCTCATTGTACGATTGCTGTGGATTAATTTGAACACTGCTTGTGAGCCACACCTGCTCATTGTGTGATTTTCTTCCAAAGTGCTTCGGTTTCAATCGAAGGGAATGTTTTTTTTTCTGGGACAGCTGAAGTTTTCCTAGTTGTTCCCGGGAGGGGTTTATATGACTATTCGCCATGGCCAGCTCCCTGCAGGACAAGACACTATTGACAAGGAATAATGGATGGAAACTGATCAAGGAGAGATTCAGCCTGGAAATAAGGAGGAATTTCCTGATAGTGAGACCGATCAATTGATGAAACAGAAGTTGCCTTCAAAAGTTCTGGGAGCTTCATCACTGGAGGCTTTCAAGAAGACATTGGATTCCCATCTGTCAGAAATGGAGTAGGGTCTCCTGCTTGGGTGGGGGGGTTGGACTTAGATGACTTACAAGGTCCTTTCCAACTCTGATTATCTGTTATCTGTTAATATTGAAGTCATAATGGAATAGATTGTTTCTGGAGATTCTCAGTCCAGAGGTGGGACTGAGGTGCTTTTTTTCCCAAGAGGCAACTGGACTTTCTGTTTTTTTTCCTTTGAAGATATTTTGCTTCTCATCCCAGAAACTTCTTCAGCTCTGACGGGATGGTGGGAAGGGGAAGGATTTATCCTTCTTGCAGACAGCTGGTCATTTGTATCCTTTTAGTGGGTCGTTGAGGCCACTTGGAGGTTTATCTGCGTCCTCGGGGTCACCTGAGTGGTGTAAATGGGTGTGGAGCCGCCTTGGAACTGCTGAAACTACTCAGGTGACCCTGAGGATATAGATAAACCTCCAAGTGGCCTCAAGGACCCTTTAAAAGGATGCAAATGACCAAGCTGCCTGCAAGGAGTATAAACCCTTCCGTTCCCCACCATCCAGTCAGAGCTGAAGAAGCTTCTGGTATGAGAAGCGAAACCTTTTCAGAGAAAAAAGAATTCCAGCTGCGTCTTGAAAAAACCATCTTCGGCACAGTAGAACAGAATCCTTAAGGGATGCCAAAGGAGAGACGAACTACAAATGACAAAATTTATTTTAAAATTAAAGAATTAAACTGAATTGGCCCTCCGCAAGTTGGCCCATGGCAAGTTTCCCCATATGTCAAGTTGTCCTGGGGGGAGCTGACCGTGGCGAATTGGCAACAACGGGTTGGCTGTGGCGAGTTATAGACCAGACTGGGGGCCTTACCCTCCATTGTCCCACTCGTTTGTGTTCAGATACACAACCACCCTCCGATCTGCTGCTCTGCCACTTTGTCTCCCAGGAAGACCCTCGGCCGGGGCGAAAGACCAGGAGGCAGGAGGATAAGACGCCAAGGCCCCGCTGTTTGTAGTCAATGGCTGGCCGGGCAGTTGGAAGAGAGGCTGATCTGGCAACCCCCTAGTGCGGGGGGGGGGTGTGTGTCTCCAACCTTGGCAACAAAGCTGGCTGGGGAATCCTGGGAGTTGAAGTCCGCCAGGCTTAAAAGTGGCCAAGGTTGGAGACCCCTGCCCTAGTAGATCCTTTTTTCTGTCTTTCGGAGGAGGCTCGGTTTGCTATGCCAAATCTCTCCTGGGCTGCTTATTTATTCTGTCATATCTTTGTTTTTTTATCTACTTGGAGCTATGGTGTATATGCTTTTTTTTTAGAGAAAAATATAATAAAAAGTTGCAAAGAACTGTGGTCCCACATCATTAATGGTCTCCATCTTGGCTTTGTCACTATATATATCTATATATCTACATCTACATCTATACATACATACATACATACATATATACATAAAACAAGTGAAATACCACTCACGTATCATCACAAAATCTCCAGATCCATAAAGCCCACAAACTTGAAATTTGGCACGTATATTCCTCATGGCTTCTAGGTGCTCAGTAAGAAAGGATTCTTCAAAATGACCATTTGCATTAGCATTTCCTATATTATTATTATTATTGTTGTTGTTACGCTCGGATGCTAAGGAGTTGTACTCCTCCCCACCTGAAAAGAAATCTCTTCCAAATGCAAAACACAAGCAGAGGAGAGGAGTTTCATTTTCACTTTCACGGCACCAAGCAGCTTTAGTACAAAACAGTTGAACTAAGCCACGCCCAGGCTCCTTGCTGTCTCGTTGCTCACACAGCAAATACTGTTTCAGTTTCCAAACAGCCCTCAACTCATACACTGACAGGATGCTAGCCAGATGAATACTGATGGATGCTGGTAGGCAGAGGCACAATTCCCCCCCCCCATTTTCCTCCCCCAAAATGAAACCCGATCACATAGTTTCGTAGCGAAGTACGGATATCCAGCTAGTTTAATATAAAGCAGGGGTGGAGTATTGGCACAACCCCACTTCGTAATGAAGGTAATTTTCCTTCCACATATGCTGATGGTCACTTAGAGCAACAATATTATTTTAGTGGGACTGAATAAAATCTAATACACTTTTCCATCTTCATTTTTCCCCCCACATCATAGTCTACCACTTTCTGGCTCATTCTAGAAAGATCTTTGTTCACCTAAAAGCCATTGTGGCCAAGTGAAACTTGCAGAGATAATATAAGGGGAGAAGTACCAGGCTTGCCAGAGTACATAAGATATTTGCTTGCAAAGAATCTCAGGCAGAAGATATCAGATCTAACGACCCATCCCTCAAAAAAGCATTTAATTTTTAAGATGTGGGAGGTAGGACAGATAAAAGCATCATTTTCCTCAAACAGTTATTTAATAACGGATGAGCCAGGAGTATTACTTGTTGAAAAGATGCTATGGCTATTCAAAGTTTCAGCACTAAAACCCCTTCAATTTCTGACTTTTCTCGTGAATACAACATTGTGATATTTCTTCCCCTGGTGGCTTTGGTTCCTCTTGATCCTCTTTTTAATAGAAGAACAGTTGAAAGGGATCTCAGAGGTCATCTAGTCCAGCCCCTCTACTCAAGCAGGAGACCCTATATATCATTTCAGACAATTGGCTGTCCGGTCTTTTCTTGCATAAAGTTTTTTTTTTTTTTTAATAACCTAACAATTTGATTATTGGCTAAACTGCGTTGTCTGGGTATAAATAACTTTAGGAAATGATCACTAGAGAGCGCATGCATGCGCATTGCATTATGGGGATTTGCACACTTTGGGCACTCGGTGCCCAAAAGGTTAGTCATCACTGCCCTAAACTCTGTTGTTGAACCCATGAGAATTGGCTTGAGTAAAAAGATTTATGACTTATAGCCTCTATGACTTGGTTCAACCAACAGATGGCGCAGCGATCCATAGTTTAACATTTTTAGATCATTTTTAGGGCTGACAAATTTTTAAGGGATTCCTTTTGAGACATACTGCAATTAAATTTACATATTTTCTTTTTTATTATTTCTTTTCTTTTATTCTTTTCTTTTTTCTTTTATTATTTTTTTTCTTATTTTCTTTTCTTTTCTTTTTTCTTTTTATTTTATTTTCTTTAATTATTTTATTTTATTATTTTATTTTATTATTCCTTTCCTTCCCTTCCCTCTTCCTCCTTCCCTCCCCTTCCCTCCCCACCTCTCCTCTTCCCTTCCCTTCCCTTTAGTCAAGGAGAGAAGCAACCTAGAACTAGGGCGAAACAGTGAGAACAATTAACCACCAGAAGTTGTGGGTCCATCACTGGAGGTTTTTAAGAAGAGACTGGGCAGCCATTTGTCCAGAATGGTATGGGGCCTTTTGCTTGGACAGGGGCTGGACTAGAAGATCTCCAAGGTCCCTTCCAACTCTGTTATTCTGTTCTGTTATTCCAAAACCCTGTGGCACCATTGCCTCTGGCAAAGATCTTCCTGTCCGATAGTCCGTCCTCGTCACGTATGCATTCCAGTTTGGAGAGCTCAGACTGTCTTTTGATTTTCCAGCTTGCTTTCTAAACCAAGCTTCTTGATCTTCAGGTGAGATGATGTCAGAGGCCTTAGGAAATGTCAGAAGCCGAAGAAGGGCTTCCATGAAAACCGCCTCCGGTCAGGGATGAGAATGTCAAAGGCCACAATAAGGATGCATGCAGAAGAAAAATCGTTAATAGTTTGCACAACGAGTATCGGTTTCAGAGAAAGGGTCTCCTTCCCTTTAGCACTGGCTGGGAAACAGGAGAGCTGCATCGGACACTTGGAAGAGGACTGGGATGGTTGTGTGTGTGTGTGTGTGTGGTTTTAGGTAAAGCAGCAACAGCAGTGAGAGACATCTAAAAAAGCCAGATGGAAAGCAAAGATTGGAGACAGAAGCAGCATTCCAATGGTTGAGAGACTGCCACAAAGAAGAAGGGATCAAGCTATTCTCCAAAGCAACAGAAGGCAGGACAAGAAGCAACAGATGGAAACTAAGCAAGGAGAGAAACAACTTGGAATGAAGGAGAAAGTTCTTAACAGTGAGGACAAATAACCAGTGGAACTGCTTGCCACTAGAAGTTGCGGGTGCTCCATCACTTGGAGGCTTTTAAAAAGAGACTGGACAACCACCTGTCTGAAATGATATAGGGTCTCTTGCTTGAGCTGGACTAGAAGACCTCCAAGGGATCCTTCCAGATCTATTCTGATTAACAGATCCTGAGTTGCATGCCTAGGGGCCCATACCATCTGGCAGAGGGAGGTGGGATTTCTGGAGCAGATTTGCTGAAGAATCGGGAGGCGTCTCCAGAATTGCTTTGAGCAGCCTCTTATCCAGGTATCCCAGCTTGTTCTCTCACCTTTCCTAATTTTTCTCAGCGAGCCTGAATCTGACAACCAAAGCTAAAAAAAATCCCTGAAGCATTCTGAGCCAAACCGTACAACAAAAAGAGATTTGTCATTTTCAGAATTCCCAGGCAAACCAAGACCCTAGAAAAAGTGCAGAGAAGGACCGCACAGATTCCCAGCCAGAGGAACAGCTGGCCAGCAGAAGTTGTGGGTGCTCCATCACTGGAGGTTTTTAAGAAAGGACTGGACAGCCACCGGTCTGGAATCATATAGCGGGTTGGACTAGAAGACCTCTGAAGTCCCTTCCAACTCTATCCTGCTTGCTTGCTTGCTTGCTTGCTTGCTTGCTTGCTTGCTTGCTTGGTAAGAAGCTGCCAGAGAGTCAATTCTTGTACTGGAAACATTTGCAAATCTTCTTCCGGTCCCTGCCTGCATCAGGGATGGAGGATTTTACGGAGCTGTAGCTGCGAATTGTGGCTTTTTCTCTTGGATGATGGTTAGTTACAGGAGGGAAGAGAGAGCCGAAGGAAAGAGCTGGAGAGATGGCTTCGAAGACGTTTCGCTTTTCAAGTCAGGCGACGAGAGAGATTAAACCGAGATGCACGTCTGGGGCATGTCAGGGCCTGGCTGAGCAAGGAAACAGGTGTGCAAGAGGCACACCTGGCAGGACCGGGCAGCTCCCTGCTGAGGCCCTTAGGCAACTCAAGCACGCCTCCCAGTCACACCGATCGGGAACTCCAACCGGCTGCAGCTCCGGAGATGCGCTCTGACCAGTCCTGGGTTCCTGCTCACCTGGGAGAGGCTCACCTGCCAGAGATGGACTAGAGCCGTCCGTCTGTGCACGCCCCTCCAGGTCAGGAAAGGAAGAAAGGAAGGGAGGCCACCATGAAGAAAATGTTCTCCTGTTCCAGCCATCAAGTGGCGGTAAGTACCAATGGCTGCACTCACCGAATTCGATAGGTGTTGGTGGGTTATCCTCAATGTAATTATGACTTGAATATCCCTGTAATTACACTTCTTAAAAAACCAGCAGATATGTGGGACCTGCAGGCCATAAGAACTTGGGTTTTTAATCTCTCTCGTTTTTGAATCAAGATGCTAGTCCTTAAGGTGGCAAAGAAGAAGGAAAAAAAAACTTGGAAAAACAGAATGCATGCCAGGGCCTAGAAGGAGCCACATTTTTTGCAGTATTGAGAGGAATTTTGAGTGCTTTTCCCTAACTTTTTAGCTTACTACTGAGGGGACTAGCTCTCCCTTGGCTTCTTGGGGCACCTGGATATCTGTTCTTAAGAGAGGGAATTTAAAACTACTCAAAGCTGTAGTTTTTGACTTTTACTTTACAGCAATGTTGCATTTGGATTTAAACATGTAGTCAGAATAGCAGAACAGAATAACAGAGTTGGAGGGGACCTTGGAGGTCTTCTAGTCCAACCCCTTGCTCAAGCAGGAGACTGTATATCATTTCAACCAATCAATTGGAATAGAGCTAGAAGGGACCTTGGAGGTCGTCTAGTCCAACCCCCTGCTCAGGCAGGAGACCCTAGATCATTCCAGACAAATGGCTGTCCAATCTTCTCTTAAAAACCCTTGACTTGTGACTAAAACTGAGCCCAAAATTTATGTTGCGAAGTAAGTAAAACTCTTCCTCCTTCCAAATGATTTGTTTCAAGCTCACGAAATGTTTTGAAATCGAGATGATTCAAATTTATTTTGCAATCCCAGGTCCTGACTGCACGCAGTTGCCCAAATTCATGCAATCAGTTAAAGACCAAAACTCGCTTTTCACAATAGATAGAATAATAGTAATAGTAACAGAATTCTTTTATTGGCCAAGTGTGATGGGACACACGAGGAATTTGTCTTGGTGCAAACGCTCTCAGTGTACATAAAAGAAAAGAGACATTTGCCAAGAGTCAAGAATCATAAAGGACAAACACTTAATGATAGTCATAGGGTACAATAATCATACTAGGAAACAGTCAATATAAATTGTAAGGATACAAGGATATAAGGATATTGCTGAATAGGGGGAAGGAATAGAATAGAATAAATATTGGAAGGAATAGAATAGAATAGAATAGAATAGAATAGAATAGAATAGAATAGAATAGAATAGAATAGAATAGAACAGAATAGATATTGGAAGGAATAGAATGGAATGGAATAGAATAGAATAAATATTGGAAGGAATAAAATTAGAATAGAATAAGGATAGAATAGAATAGGAATAGAATAAGAATAGAATATAGAATAAGAATAGAATAGAATAGAATAGAATAGAATAGAATAGAATAGAATAGAATTAATAGAATAGAACAGAACAGAACAGAACAGAACAGAACAGAATAGAATAGTATTCTTTATTGGCTAAGTGTGACTGGACACACAAGGAATTTATCTTGCTGCAAATGCTCTCAGTGTACATAAGAGAAAAGAGACATTTGTCAGGAGTCGAGAATCATAAGGTAGAATATTTAATGATAGTCATAGGGTGCAAATAAGCATAAGGTACAATTCAACCAAAGGACCTACCTCTACTCATTCTGTGCGCAGGTAGTCCTTGACTTACAACCCCGATTGAGTCCAACATTTATGTTGCTTAGGGAGATGTTGGTGAAGTGAGCTTTGCCCCTGTTTTATGACTTGTCTTGCCACCGCTGTTAAGTGAATCATTGTCAATCGTTAGCGACATGGTTGTTAAGCGAATCTGGCTTCCCCATTGACTTTGCTGGTCAGAAGATCACAAAAGGGGATCACGTGACCCTGGGACTCTCAACTCATCATAAACATGAGTCAGTTGGCAAGCATTTGAATTTTGATCACAGGAGCACGGGGATGCTGCAACAGTTCATTTAGTGACCATTCAAAGTTACTGTGATGACCTGGAGTGTAACACATACGTAACAAAATCCAAAACATTAATAAATGTCCTTTAATGCCTCCAACTTGTCCTCACTGTTCAATAATTCTCCATTGGAGATAAAATGTACTCAAAAATAGTCTTCAAAAGAAAGCAATACAGTCCAAACTTAATGAGCAAATAGAGGTGAAATAAAAAAACTAAAACAAACTACATTGAAGGAATTTCCATAACGGACCAGGATAAGTAATCACCAACTTCAAGGAGATAACAAGGCACAGTCTGTTGGAAGGACACCAACCAAGATAACTTCAGCCCAAAATAAGACACTCTTTGCTTCTGGCAATGCTGTGTTTTAACCATCTCTCTTATATACTATTCTCCCCAGCTGCCACCAATGAGGAGGATCATGGCCGCTTCCTCTCTCATAAGCCAAGTTGTTCCCTTATCCTCTCTTCCCTGCATGCCTTAGGATGGAGAGGGGATGGGCCTGGTTCTTCCTCTGACTGCCCAGCCGGCCTCTGCCCTTCCCCAGCTCCTCCACAGCCTCCGGAGCCAAACTTCTACTCCCTGTTGGCTGTTCCTCCTCTCCCTCAGAGTCCAACATAGGCATAACAGGGCATAACAGTTACACCAGCACTGAGAAGTGACTTATGACTGTTTTTCACACAACAGTTGTAGTATCCCCATAGTCCCCTGATCAAAATTCAGATTCTTGGCAACTGACTCAGATTTATGACGGTTGCCATGTCCTGGAGTCACGCAATCCCCTTTTGAGCCCTTCTGAGAAGCAAAATCAATGGAGAAGCCCTGATTCACTTAACGACTGGATGACTAAATTAGCAACAGCAGGGATTCGCTTAGCAACCATGGCAAGAAAATTCGTAAAATGAGGGAAAAACTCAACACGTGTCTCGCTGAGCAACATATGTTTTGGGCTCAATTGTTCATAAATCCGAGGACTTACCTGTTAGTTTTGAGTTTTCGCGACTCTTGGATTTTCAAGTCTGGTCTACTTCGCAGGGTTGAAATCCAACGGTTCAATATTAGGGCTCAGTGCAGAAGGCACTCTGCACGTAGTCAGAGGGACATAAATCAGATTGGGACGTTCCAAGCTTCCGTCCCAGCTGAGAAAAATCATAGGGAAAATATTGAGCAATAAGAAAATAACAGAGTTGGAAGGGACCTTGTAGGTCATTTAGTCCAACCTCCTGCTCAAGCAGGAGACCCTAGACCATTTCAGATAGGTGGCTGTCCAGTCTCTTCAAAACCTCTGGTGGCAAGCTGTTCCACTGGTTGATTGTCCTCACTGTTTGGAAGTTTCTCCTTAATTCCAGGTTGCTTCTCTCCTTGATGAGTTTCCATCCATTGTTTCTGGTGCTTTGGAGATTAAGTTGACCCTCCCCTCCTCTTTGTGGCAGCCCCCCAAATATTGGACCACTGCTATCATGTCCACCCCCAGTTCTTCTTTTCTTTAAACTAATACCCAATTCCTACCACCACTCTTTGTATGTTTTATCCTTCAGTTCCCTAACCATCCTGGTTGCTCTTCTCCGCACTCTTTCTAGAGTCTCAGCCTCTTTTTTTTAAATATCACGGTGATCAAAAACTGGTTGCATCTTATCAAGGCATTTTAAAGGAGTTCAATTCGACTGTGGAAACTGTGTCATCAATTATTATTATTATTTTTAATTGTTCAGTCTTGCTCTTGTCCTGCCCTCGAGTTAGATCCGGCCTCGGGGCGGGGGGTGGGGGGGACTTCACGGTGTATTTCAGCTTCTCCCGAAGTGGCACCTGTGGAAATGCTTTTCTTTGTTGCATGAATGTCCTTCCTTTGTGGGTGTTGCCCCCGCCCCCCAACTATGCAGCCAAGAGGAAGGGGCATGGATGGAGACCCTTTGGGGCTGAGGAGCACCCCCCCGCTGGATTTTCCATGGCAAGTCTGGGGCCCTTTCTCTAAGGGGGCTTGGGTTGGACTAGATGACCTACAAGGTCCCTTCCAACTCTGTTAATCTGTTATTATCCTTAGGAAAAGATGATCCCGAAACACCAGTACTTCATCTGTCAGAAAGGGAGTTGGCCAAGAAAGGGTTGGATCCAGAAACCGGGAACTTCACAACCCCTGGGCCAATCTGGAGATCACAACGATAGCACAGCACGTTGGGAGGAGGAATTCCTTCACCAAGGAGGCAAAATCACTAGACAGGGGAAGGAAAAAAAAAGTTCCTGAAATGGAAAGAGAGGAAAAACAAGGAAGGCAATAATAACCCTACAGGTAGAATCCAAAGTAAATAAACAAAGAAATACCATTAGCCGCCTAGCTGAATTTGTTTCATCTTCTAAATTATGTCACTTTCAAAATATGTTTAGGGTGTTTTGCAAAAAGGCTAGTTGGTGGCAGGTCATCAGGGCTCTCTGCCTTGAAGCTGTTAGGTAGGTTCTCCTTGCCTGCTTCTTTCTTTCTTTCTTTCTTTCTTTCTTTCTTTCTTTCTTTCTTTCTTTCTTTCTTTCTTTCTTTCTTTCTTTCTTTCTTTCTTCCTTCCTTCCTTCCTTCCTTCCTTTCTTCCTTCCTTCCTTCCTTTCCTTTTCTATTCTTTCTCTCTCTTTTTCCTTTTTCTTTCTTTTCTCTCTTTCTTCCTTTCTTTTTTCTTCCTTCCTTCTTTCCTTCCTTTCCTTCTCTTTTCCCCTTTTTCTTTTCCTTTCTCTCTCTCTCTTTATTTCTTTCTTTTCTTCCTTCCTTCCTTCCTTCCTTCTTTCATTTCTTTTCCTATTCTTTCTTTTTCTCTCTCTCTCTTTTCCTTTTTCTATTTTCTTTCTTTTCTCCTTTCTTTCCTCTTTCTTTCTCCCTTTTCCCTTTTCTGTTTTCTTTCTTCTCTTTCTTTTCTTTCTTTTTCCTTCTTTCCTTCTTTCCTTCCTTCCTTTCCTTTCCTTTTTTCCTTTCTTTTTCTTTCCTTTCTCTCTCTCTCTTTCTTTCTTTCTTTCTTTTTCTTTCTCTCTCTCTCTTATTTTCTTTCTCCTTTCTCCCTCCCTCCTTCCTTCCTTCCTTCCTTCCTTCCTTCCTTCCTTCCTTCCTTCC